CCTCCACGTAAAAGTTAATATTGTAACACAATATATAGCAATGTTTCTCAACTTCCTAATGCTGCAGCCCTTTAATACAGTTCTACATGTTGTGGTGACCCCCAACCATAGAATTATTTTTTGTTACTATTTCATAACTATAATTTTTATACTGCTGTGAATCAAAATGTAAATATCTGTGTTTTCAGGTGGTCTTAGGTGACCACTATGAATGGGCTTTTTGACACCACCCTCAAGTGGTCACAGCCCACAGGTTGAGAACACTGATAAACAGAATGTAAATCTTGCTTCTCCATAGCACCGTTCATCACATTATCTTTTATGCTATAGTTGACAGTGTATGTTGCCTATATGAAAATAAATAATTCCTATATGGTATTACAATATTAGCTTTAAGTAGGTAAATGGAAAAGCTTCAGCTGCCGTCAATATATTTATTTATTTGCTTGTAATGATGCAGAGTTGTAGTATGAGGGCTGGCTTGTTGGGGTTTCTGTCCCACCCAGTACCCCAACAAGCCAGCAAGTCCCAAGGAAAAATCACACACAAGACTCCATAAGGTTATAAATTGATTGGCTCATTAGGTCAGGCTACTTATTAGCTCTTATAACATATATTACCCCATTATCCTTATCTATTTTAGCCACATGGGCTCAGTACCTTTCTCAGTGTGACAGCTTACATGTTGCCTCTTCGGTGGTCTGTGTAGGAATGGCAGAGGAACCTCTCTGCTTCCCAGAATTCTCCCAGTCTCTTTGCTCCACCCCTACTTCCTGTCTGGCTTTCCCGCCTATACTGCCTGCCTGGCCAATCAGCGTTTTATTAAAATATGATTGACAGAATACAGATAATTCTCCCGCACCATTTCCCTCTCTTTTTTTTTTAAACAAAGGAAAAATACCCATAATCCATTTGTTGGGAATGTGGGCGTAGTATTTCAGGCTACTTCCTGCTGGTTGGGGGCGCTGATAGTCTTAAGGGGACCTAAAGAAAATTTAGAGTTATAGTCAAGTCCTGACTGAAGTATCCTGGGAGTCTTGATCATCTCAGGCAGCAGTCTTGAATCAGTTCTGGATGTAGAACTCTGTCATCTGGGCCATCTGTTCCTGTCGATTTCTCAGGTGGCCTCCCTTGGTCAAAGATGATTTTTCTTAACTCTGAATAAATCCATAGCCTCTCATTTTCTGTGGAAACAAAAGCAGAATCTCTTCTCCAAAGTAACATACCTTTTGACTTCAGTTTTGAAGCCAAGGTATTTTCAAAATGTCTATCTTGGGTTAGTTCAGCAGCATTTATAAACAAATGTCTTTTGGTGACTGTTGCTCCTTCCTCAGCATTCAAACAATTAAAAGAGAGCATAACACACAGTATCAAGATTCTCTGTGTATTTTCCATCTTTATGCAGCTTTATTTTACTTCTATTTCTTTTATTTTTACTTTTACTTTGTTGGAATTATATGTTAAAATGTAATCTGTTTTTTCATTTTGAGTTTTCAGGGGATTATAGTTAAGGGATTGCATGAATCTCAGAAGAGACGAACTCTGAAACAAATTTGAGAGTTATGAACTGGGGACTTTTTGAAGTTGGACTAAATGCATCTTGAATTATGATATGACTACAAGCCTTTATGGACCATCAAGTGGAAAGTGGTGGTTTCAATAAAAGTGACCCTCATGAGCCCATAGGGAGTTGCAGTATTAGGATATGTGACCTCATTGTAGAGTGTGTCACAGGTGGTGGACTTTGAGATTTCAGAAGCTCCAGCCAGGCTTAGTGGTTCACTGGCCTTTCCTACTGTCCTCCAGATGTATAACTCTCAGCTACCTCTTCAGCACCATGTCTGCCTGCATCCTGCCATGGCTCCACTGTAGTGACAGTGGACTAAACATCTGAACTTAAACCAGGCCCAACTAAATGCTTTCCTTTATAAAAGATGTGGTGGTTATGGTGTCTCTTCACACCAATAAGAACCTCAACTAAGACTCCAGGGAACTTAGTAGGTCTTGGTGGAACACTTTGCTTTTCTCCCTCCTGTGGACTCTCCCAAATTGATCTCAATTTCTAAGTGTCAGATTCCAATATCTATAAACACATTTTATCTGGAATTCCCATAGTTACATCTAGCAGTATCCCAGAAGAATTCCCTCCCAGAAAACAGCACACTCTCCTAACAACCTAAGAAGGCAACAAAAAGTCAGCAAAAAACACTCTCCCAACAAAGAAAGGCAAGAACAGATATAAGCCCCTAGAATTACAATAGTCCCAAACTCAGATGCCTAATTCCAGCATAAAAACAATAGCCAGGGCAATATTTTTTTCACTAGAGCACAATTACCCTACCACAGTAGGTCCTGAGAATTGCAACATAGCTGAAGTACAAAAAAAAAGACCTTAAAAATAGCCTTTATGAAGATGATAAAGGTCCTTATTGAAGAAATGAATAAATTTCCTATAAACTATGAATGTACAAATAAGCAGTGGAAGTAAATGAATAACAGTTCACAACTTGAAACTGGAAATTCTAGGAGGGGGCAGCTTGTTAGTCCTGGCTGCTCAACTAGCTTATCCCTGAAATAATCACACAGAAACTATTCATTAAATCACTGCTTGGCCCATTAGCTCTAACTTCTTATTGGCTAACTCTTACATCCTAGTTTAACCCATCTCCATTAATCTGTGTATCACCAAGTGTAAGTGGCTTACCAGCAAAGTTTTGGCATGTCTGGCAGCAGCTCTATGGCAGCTCTTTCCCCCTCCTCCCAGCTTTCAGTCCAGTTTTCCCCGCCTACCTAAGTTTTGCTCTATCAACAAGGCCAAGGCAGTTTCTTTATTAACCAATAAAAGCAACACATAGGCAAAAGGACCTCCCACACCAGGAATAGGTACAATAAAGAAGACAGACTATGTGAAATACGGAAATGAAAAATTTAGGAACTTGAACAAAGGCACCAACAGAACATGAGATGGAGGAGAATGTCAAAGAATGAAGACGTTATAGAAGAAATGGATACCTAGGTCAAAGAAAATGTTAAGTTTTACAAACTCTTGACACAATCTGGATATTTGGAACACTGAAAAGACCAAATCTAAGACTATTAGGTAGGAACAGAGGAGAGGGTCGAAGTCGAAGCCTAGATCAAAGGCAGAGAAACTATTTTCAGCAAAATATAAAATCATAGAAGAAATTTTTCCTTAGTAGGAGATAGACCAGACAAGAAAAGGTCCCTTTAGGACGTAATCAAAACACTAAATAGACAAGACGAAAATATTAAAAGCTGCAAGGAAAAAGGCCAGAGAAGGACAGATGTATTAGAATAATAATCTGACTTCTAAAAGAAGACTAAAAGTAAAAAGGGCCTGGACAGATACACTATCGGCTAAGAGACCACAGATGCCAGCTCAGCCTATTGTAACCAGCAAAAGGTTCAATCTTTTTTAAACTATGACATTTTATTCTAAAATGAAGTTTAAACACTATCTGTTTACAGATCCAATAACATAGAAGGTGCTAGAAGGAAAACTCAATGCCAATAAATTATTCCACAAAATAGAAACAAAGAACATTGTCCAGTTTGTTCTTTGAAGACACAATCACTCTTGATATCAAGTCACACAAAGATCAAATAGAATTACAGACCAAGTTCCTTATGGACATAGATGTAAAAAGTCTCAATAAAATGCTTGTCAACTAAATCCAAAAACATGCCAAAGTGATCATTCACCACAAACAAATATACTTCATGTCAGAGATAGAGGGATGGTTCAACATGTATAAATAGATGAATGCAATACTCCACATAAACTGAAAGGCAAAACCACTTGATCATTTTATTAAATGTTAAAAATGCCTTTGACAAAATAGAAGACAGCCTTATGATAAAAGTCCTGGAGAGATTAGGCATAAAAGGAATAGATATCAACATAATTAAGGCAGTTTACAGCAAGCCTATAGCCAAAATCAACATAAATAGAAACTCAGAGCAATTCCACTAAATCAGGAAGAAGGCGAAGTTGTTCACTCCATACCTATTCAATATAGTAATTGTAGTCTTGGCTAGAGCAATAAGACAACTTGAGATTTCAGAGGATGCACATTGAGAAGGAACAAGTTAAGGTATCTTTACTTGTCAATGATATGATAGTGACATAAGTGACCCAGAAAAAACATCCACCAGGCAACTATTACAGCAGATAAACACTTTGGGGAAATTACCTGGATACAAAATTAACTCACAAAAATCAGTGACTTTCCTAGGGAAACAACACATTTTACAATAGCCTCATATAATATGTCATGGGGTAAGCAAGAGAAAGATTTATACAATAAAAACTTTAAGACATGGAAGAAAGAAATTGAAACTATCAGAAGATGGAAAGTTTTCCCATGCTCATGGACTGGTAGGATTAATATAGTAAAAATAACCATCCTCAAAAAGCAATCTATAGGTTAAATGTAATTCCCATCAAAATTTAACAAAATAGATTTTGAAATGAAAGTTTTAAATTTCATATGGAAACACAATAAACCCAGTGTACTAAAACAATTCTGAATAATAAAAACTGCCTAGGTATCACTGTCCCCAATTTCAGAGCTATAGGAAGCAACATGGTATTGGCACAAAATAGATCCACAATGGAATGTATTAAAGACCCAGATGAGTTCACACGCCTGTAGACACCTGTTTTTTTTATGAAGAAGCCAGAAACATCTTGGAAAAAGCGTCATTGACAAATGCTATTCAAACTGAATGGCTGTATATAGAAGTCAAATAGATCCATACTTTATCACCCTGTACAAACCTTCACTCCAAATGGATCCAAGACCTCAACATAAAACTAGCTGTACTGAACCTGATAGAAAAGAAAGTGAGGCCAGATGGTGGTGGCACACACCTTTAATCTTAGCACTTCAGAGGCAGAGGCAGGTGGATCTCTGAGTTTGCGGTCAGCCTAGTCTACAAGAGCTAGTTCCAGGACAGACTCCAAAAGCTACAGAGAATTGCTCGCTTCAGCATCACATATACTAAAATTGGAGCAGTACAGAGAAGATTAGCATGGCCCTTGCACAAGGATGATACACAAATTAGTGAAGTGTTCCATATTTTAAAATACCTGAATTCATAAAAAGCTTCAGATGGAGAATCTCATCGGGATTATAAACCTTGGACTACACAGAATTGCTCAGTAAAGGATTTGGGGTTTCCTCTCAAAAGATCATCCTCCTGCAGTTGAATCACTTTTCTGAATGAAGATATCAAACTTTCAAAAAAATAAATAAATAAAAGCTACAGAGAAACCCTGTCTCAAAAAAACAAAAAAAAAAGTGAGAAATAACTTGGATCTCATTGGCACAGGAAAAGACTTTTTTTTTTTTTTTGGTTTTTTGAGACAGGGTTTCTCTATAGCTTTGGAGCCTGTTTTGGAACTAGCTCTTGTAGACCAGGTTAGCTTCAGACTCACAGAGATCCACCTGCCTCTGCCTCCCGAGTGCTGGGATTAAAGGCATGTGTCACTGCCGCCCAGTAGGAAAAGATTTTCTGAAGAGAACACTGTTAGCACAAACCTTAAGATTAATAATTGATAAATAATACGTCATGAAATTGAAAAGCACACCATCATTCAAAGGGACAGTCTACAGAATAGGAGATTTTTACCAACCACGTATCAATAAAGATATCAGTAATCAGTACAGGTAGATCTCCATAGGGAAGAGAAGTAAAATAGATAGAATGAATTGAGGATGAGTACTGGAACTGGAAGATCAAGTGGGGAAGACAGGGCACAAGCTAAATAATACAATCATAGAAAGCTGAAGTTATTGACCATTTGAAAGGTAGTTTGGAAACCTAAAAGCAATAGATGCTTCCTTAAAATATATACATATATGATGGTGATCTAAATGAAATTACCAAATAATGGAGGTGACAGAGCCCCAACTGAACATCTTTTGTTACCAAATGAAGCTTCATTGCTAGTAATGGATTACATCTAACTTAGTTGTTGACCAACAGCTTCCCAGGCTATGTCCAAGACTATAGGTTGCTCTCTGGAAACTAACAGTGATGATAAGACAACACCTATAAAAACTCACTGAACATGGATAAATCAAGCTGATACCTACGTAAAGCCTTCACCTTTGTGTGAAATGTACTCTGCACACAACTAAAGCAATTGTAAAGACCAACCTAGCTACAATCCCTTTGATATGCAGTGGTGGCCTGCCTGAAGTATATGTTTTAGCAATGGTTACAGACTTGTGGGCACAACCAACCAATATTTGATTTGATTCCTCTCCGTGAGATGGAATTCATCTGACAGTGCTAGGGTGACCAAGAACCTAGGGACCTAAGGTAAAACCAAATACTACTGTTCTAAAAGAATATAGCAATAAAATGACTCTTAATGCTATTCTACTATACTCAGATCAGTATTGTACAGCTGTCATCAAAGAACCTTCCTTCTACCTCCTGCAGCAGATGGGAATATACAGAAACCCAGAGTCAAACAATATAAAGAGTGTGAGAGCCTTCTTCAGAACATTCAATGTCTTCATCAAACCCCTCCTCTAATATCTTGCAAAGCCTTGTGGTAGTGGAGGCAGAAATAGTGTAAGAGCCAGAGGGGATGGAGGATATTAACAAAACAAGGCCCTTTAAATATCAGGATGGGTGCACATAAGAACTCAGAGTCTAATATTGCACACACAAGGCCTTCATGGGTCTGTATCAGGTGGAGTCCTAGAGCTGAAAGGAGAAATGGTACATGCCTTTATCCCTAACCCAGAAGTAATTTTCGATTAATAACTACTTGGAAATGGAAATTTAGTTTTTTCCCCCCAGGGAAATCTCCTTGGGGAAACCAACTACTCTTACAGTAGACTGCAGGCCCAGCTGTAGATGGCTAACAGAAAACAAACTCATTAGCATCTTTAGAGGTTCCTTTTTTCACAATGCCATATCAGGACTTTTTTTCAAGTTTTATTTTTATTTATATTTTACCTTTTTCTTTTTACATTCCTTTGCGTATATGTAGCATCAACTTAAATGTTGCATGAGATACTTGAATATAAAAACCAGAATATGCAGTCTTTCTGTATCTGTGCCAATTTAATTGTTCCTTTTCTTGAGTTCTTTTCCTTCTCCTTGTTTCTAATTCTGATATGTTAGATTTTGTTCTATCACATTTTATATTTTTTGAAGCTTATTTGTTTTCTAATGAGAGATAGATATGGAGAAGATCTAAATGAGAAGGGAGGTTGGGAGGGGTAAATATAATCAGGACATAGTATATGAGAAAAATATTTTAAATAAAAGGAAAATTTTTTAAATGTTGAATATGTTTTGTTTTCCAAAGTCATATTTTTATTATTTTATTTTCTTTCCATACTCTCTAATTTAAGTATTATTAAATCATGAAGTTTTATTTACTTGTATATCACTTTCTTGCTCTTTCAGTGATTACCAGTAAATATTAAATGTGTTTTTCCTTCAATTATAGATTAATAATCATATTTTCAACTTTCAGTGATCTTACATTCAAAATAATTACGTTTTTAATGCAAGCAATGTAACCGAATATTTTAGTTATTTAATTTCCCAATGACCCAGTATTTATAGGGTCTTGCTATTTCAGAAGATGATGAATAATACTAGAATACATAATAAAGACCTTCTAATGTGAATCTGATAAAGCGACATTTTCAAAGTTAATAGAGAAGATTGGATCAGTTTTGTTGTGCTATTAAAAACTAATTTTCCAGTAGAAGCAGAGCGTTTGGCAATGTGTTACTAGTCAATATGAGTTTACTCTGTTTTACTTTCTAGACTGACATTTTAAGATATGTATTTCATTTTAATCTCAACACAAAAAGATCTAATGTATTGGTGTATCTAGCCTTATCCTTTTCTCCATTTTCAAATAAGACAACTCATGATTAAGCCCTAGGAAAAAAACAATAATGTTCATGTTCAATTAAGCAAGATCTTAATATACTCACAAGTCTAGGTAATAAGCAATATAATATCCATAGAAATAATTTAAAGAGAATAGTGAGTCCAAGCTCCTTGTGTTAAATAATCATTTTGTATTTAAAGAAAAGTACCCCATGATTTAAATAGGAAGTAATACATGATCAAAAGGCTACACATAGATTTTATTTATAGAGATTTATTTAGATATATTTTTATATTTCTTTAAATGAATATAAGTATAGTTATATTTACTTAGTTTAGTTTTAACCTACAGGGATTTATTACTTATACACTAACATTTAGTCACAGCAGTAATCATATACCAACATTGCTATGGAAAAAAATTTAAATAAGTTATCTCAGGCTTTCTACTGCTCTAAAGATACACTACAACTCTTATAAAGGAAAACATTTAATGGGGCGGCTTATACTTTCAGAGGTTTAGTTTATTATCATCATGGTGGGACATTGTAGCATGCAGATAGAAAGGGTGCTGGAGAAGGAGCTGAGAATTTTTCATCTTGATATGCAGGGAAGAGAAAGTGGATGTGGCTTGAGCATATATTAATCTTTGAAGCCTGCCTTCACAGTAACATACTTTCTCCAATAAGACCACTCCTACTCCCACAAGTCCACAACTTCTAATAATGCCACTCTCTTTGTGGACCATTTTCTTTCAACCACCACATTCTACTTGCTGGTCTCCAAAGGCCTGTAGTCATATTGTAATACAAAAATTCATTCAGTCCAACTTCAAAAGTCCTCATACTCTATCACAGTCTCAAGTTTGTTCCAAAATCTAAAGTTCAAAGTCTCCTGAGATTCATGCAATCTCTTAACTGTAATCCTCTGCAAAACCAAATGAAAAATCAGATCACATACTCCTAACATATAATGGCACAGCATATACATTACCATTTCAAAATGGTAGGGAATTTAGGAAAGGGAGCATAGTGAGGATGTACTGGATCAAAGCAACACCCAAAACCAGCTGGGTAAATTCCAAGCACTCCATCTCCATGCCTGATGGCAAAATGCTCTTCAGATCTCTAACTCCTTTCAGCTTTGTTGACAGCACACCTAACAGCTTTCTTCAGGTGTCCCACAACTCCGACATCTCTCACATCTTGAGTCTCCAAGACAATTCAGGCCTCACCTTTCCAGATTCACACAATAGCCACTCTGGGCCTCCATTTAGGGAAACCCCTTATACATTCCTGGCCTCAGCAGCTTTGCTTACTCATGGGAGGAATATTCCCTAACAGCTTTCTTCTGTCCTTGACTCTAAAGCCAGAACCACGTGACCGAAGCTGCCAAATTCTGCTGCTTGCTCCTCATTCAGTTAGGTCTTCACCAGCTTTCTGTTTTTGATGGTTACCTTCACTGCATAAGGTTGGATGTTCTGGAACTTGCTCTGTAGACCACACTGACCTCAAACTCAAGAGTCCCACAAGCCTCTGCCTTTGTAGTCCTGGGATTAAAGGTGTGGACCATTACACCAGGCTCTAAGATTTTCTTTAATTCCCTTTCACAAATTGGAAATTTAGCTGGGTCAGATGTTGCCCTGAGGTCACCACTCCCCTTTATTCTTATTATGCCCAGATCACAGGGTCCCCACAGAAAACCACCATGGAGTCTGCTCTTTATTCAAGCTCAAGCTTGGACTCTCAGTCTTGAAATGCAGCAGGTGAAAGCAGAGCGCCTCAAGGCCAGGCACAGTAGGACTTTTAACATAGTAAAGGTTGGGAGTGAGGGGATTTCTAGGGTTCAAAACCCTGAACATTTGTCTAAGGATATCATATTTTAACAAAAGGGGAATAAGTGTGTGCTGAACTCAGGGACATCTGGTGAGTTTATCTAATCTTATCTAACAGTTGATAAGTCCAGTACTTCCCTTTAGATGCTGGCCTTCCCTGGGTGGTGTCAGTTTATGGTTTTTTTTAGATCCCAGTGCTGCTTGCCAGTAAACTGAAACTCAGGCCTACTTTTTAGCTGGTTTTTATTAAATGTCATTGCAACAGTGGCCATGCTGTTCTGGGCCCATTTGGCCAAGTTGTTATGAACCCCACAATTCCAATTCTCAATCTTTTTAATCCTCTTGAACAGAGGACTTATCTCCATTTCACTTTCTGGTGT